GTGGAGAAGAGGATGGGAGGGATCTTGGATCTCTCTCCCAGGGGCAACCTCTGTGAAAGCATTGCCTTGAATACAAAGCACGAAAAACTTTTCACACTGTTCTTGTTGCTTTTATTTATTTTTATTAAGGTAGTATTCACTTACGAGGCAACAATTTTTCTTTGTTGGGTATATTGCACAAGATTGTGCAACATATCCCCATGATCTAATTCCAGAACATTTTGATCGCACTAAGAAGAAACACCCTTACCACAAGCAGCGACTCCTCCGATGCCCCTGCCTCCAGCCCCTGCCAACTACTAATCTTACTTTGATTTTAGAAAAACAGAAAAATAGGTATAGACCATAAGAGAGAGGGTGAGAAAGGACAAGGGACAGAAATCCCACTAAAGGACCACAAAGGAAATGACTGGCTCTCTTCTTCTTTCTATTCCAGGCTGAAGAGGTGCTTGGTCTCCAGCTCTGCCTGTCAAGACCTCACAGCTGCGTTGATGACCAATAAGAACTTAATGAGGATGGACCTAAGCAGCAATGACCTCGGGCTACCAGGCCTGAAGTTACTCTGTGAGGGGCTCCAGCACCCCAAGTGCAGGCTGCAGATGATCCAGTGAGTCCTAATCTGCGCCATCTCCCTGGGCAAACTCCTTGTCTCCCAGGCTTGGAATAGCAGATGACTCCCAAGTCTCTATCTGGAAATTAGGGCTGCACTTTGACCCATGACTCATAATCTGACTTAGACTCTGCACTTCAGAGAACCTCTTTCTGGCCTCCTCTGACCCCACCATTCCCACATGGTGAGGAGTCCCTGGGGCCACCAGCCCACCCAGAACCCACTCTCATCCTGAGGAGTCGGAACCCCTGAACTCCCCATGCCAAGACTTTTTCATTGCACAGCCCCCTTCTGCAATGCCACTGTGCTAGAAAGACCACTGAGTTTTCCCACCTGTGCATCTCCTTTACCACTTACACAGTTTGCTTCTGACACCTATGGTCACCAAATGTGTGTGGGTGTGTGTTGCGGGGCGGGGTTCTACCATACCAAGCCATTTTCTGGGGCACCAGCTGGGTGTCCTACAATTTTATGCAGTTCTGATACTATTGCCCTGGAGAAAGTGTCACATCCCACAGGTTAAGGGCTCAGTCCCAGGGGACCGCTCTCCCCAACTTCAGATGACAGTTGCAAGTCCAGGTGGTCACCTGTGTTTCTGACTGATGGGCTACACATCAGAGGTTCCCATGACCTCCTCAGGTTTGATTAATTTACTAGGGCGGCTCCCAAAACTCAGAGAAATGCTTATATTTACCAGTCTATCAAAAGGTGTGAAAAAGGACTCAGATGGACAGTCAGATGATGACATGCATAGGGCCAGGCATGGGAGGGTCCCGAGCATAGGAGCTGCTATCCTGATGGATTGGAATGTGTCACCCTCCTGATATGGATGTGTTCACCCACTTGGAAGTCTTTGAGCACCCTACTATTGGAATCTTATGGAGGCATCCTCACGTGGGCGGGATCAATAAGTAACTCTGTTTCCAGCCCTTCTCCCCTATCTAGAGTTTGGGGGTAAGGCTGAAAATTCCAAGCTTCTAAGCATTGTGTGGCGTTCTAGTCAGTCACCAGCCCCTATCCAGAAGCCCACCCAGAGTCACCTCGATAGAACAAAAGATGCTGCTAGTGCTCTCATTACTGAAGAAATTGCAAGGATTTTAGGTCGTCTGTGTTAGGAACCAGGGGCAGAGACCAGTATACGTATTTTCTGTTATCTCACAGCCACCCTCATTCTGCAGCTTTCGAGAACCAGCCCAAAGTCTCCCCTAATAGCACACACTGTTTGCTGAGTTAGGTGGCTCCTCGGCCATGATGGTTTTGATAGACATTAGCTCGTGTTGACTGAGCACTCTCTATGTCAGACCCAGCCTCACATCCTCAGCCTTTAGTAAATTATGTAGTCCTCGCAACAGCCCTCTGAGGTCGGCTCTGTTATTATCCTTATTTTAGAGTCAATGAACCTGAGACACTGTAGCACATGAAACCAAAAACTGAGACTTGATGGACACTTGCTTGAGGTCAGAGGGATAGCGGGTGGTGGAGATGGGGGCAAAAGCAGGATGCTGAGCTCTAGAGACCCCTCTGAGCTGTTGTGCTACACTGCCTTAGTGGCACAACCTACATTGAATTGTAACTGCTACTTCTTTGTCTTATTAGACAGGACGCTCCTTGCTAGAGATCATGAAGTCTTGTCCTTCTCTGTAGCTTTAGTGACACATGTGGGTTCATGTTGGTAACCAAATGCGCCAGGGGATGAGCCATCAGGATGCAGAAAATCAAGATGGTACCCCCTCCAATGTTTCTTTCCTCCTGAGGTTGAGGAAGTGTCACCTGGAGGCCCGAGCTTGCCAGGAGATGGCCTCAGTGCTAAGCACCAGCCGACACCTGGTGGAGCTGGACCTAACAGGAAATGCACTGGAAGACTTGGGTCTGAAGCTGTTGTGTCAAGGCCTGAGAAACCCAGTCTGTAGGCTGCAGATCTTGTGGTGAGTTCTTTGTGGGGCCATCTCAATAGGAGGCAGATCTCCTCATGTTGAATGATGCTGTGACTATGTATTCATTGTTTGTACACCCGTATTCAGAGCAGCATTATTTGCAGTAACCAAGAAGTGAAAACAACACAAATGTCCATCAGTGGGAGAATGGATAAACAAAATGTGGTCTCTACATACAATAGAGCATTATTCTACCTTAAAAAGGGAGTGAAATTCTCATATGGGCTACAACATGGACAAACCTGAAGACATGATGCTAAGTGAAATGTCAATCATAAAAGACAAAGATTATATGAGGTAACTAGAATAGTCAAATCCATAGAGACAGGAAGTAGAACAAAGGTTGTCAAGGGCCAGGGCAGGAGGGGATGGGGACTTATGTAATGAACACAGAGTTTCCATTCTGGAGATGAATCATGATGATGCACAACAGTGTGAATATACTTAATGCCACTAAACCGTACACTTAAAAGTGGTTAAAATGGTAATTTTTATGTTATGTATTCATTCTGCGTATGTGTTATACTTTGTTTATCCATTCATGGATGGACGCTTGGGTTGCTTTCACCTTTTGGCTATTTTGAATAATGCTGTTGTGAACATGGGTGAGCAAATATTTCTTTGAACCCCTACTTTCAATTCTTTTGGGCATGTAACCGGAAATGGAATTGATGACTCATTTGACTATTTTTAATTTTTTGAGGAACCACTATACCATTACCCACAGCATCTGCACCATTTCACATTCCTACCAACAGTGCACAAAAGTTCCAATTTCTCCATATCCTTTCCAGTACTTGTTATTTTCTGGGTTGTGTTTTTGTCTGTTTGCTTTTCTTTTCTTTCTTCCTTTTCTTTTCTTTCTTTCTTTTTTTTTTAATAATGGCCATTCTAATGGGTGTGATGTAGTGTCTCATTGTGGTTTTGATTTTCATTTCCCTAATGATCAGTGATGTTGTGCATCTTTTTGTGTGATTTGTGGCCATTTATATATCTTCTCTGGAAAGGTCCACTCCAGGCCTTTGTGTGTTTTTTAAAAATGAGTTGTTTGAGAATGCATTGCTTTGAAGATTGGAAGTAGGGAGAAAAAATTGGCATTATATAGAAAAAACTCCATAACATATGTTGAATAGGTTGAAGATTTGCCACCTCACTGCTGCCTCCTGTGAAGACCTGGCCTCTACCCTGAGTGTGAACCAGAGCCTGATGGAACTAGACCTAAGCCTGAATGACCTGGGGGATCCTGGGGTGCTGCTGCTGTGTGAGGGTCTCAGGCATCCCCAGTGCAAACTCCAGACCCTCCGGTGAGTCCCGCTTTGCTCACCATCATAGGAGTCCAAATTTTCAATCCTTGCCCTCCAGTCTGGTCTTACTGGGGCCATGCTCCTTCCCCTCTTTTCTTAACCTTTAGTTCCATCTGTGTCCTTTCAAAGAATTTTCTGTCGCAGGGCCTTTGCACCAGCTGCTCCTTCTTCCTGGAATTCCTTTCTGCTCTGCAGTCCTCCCTTTTTACCCTGATAACATCTGTTTTATCTGTTAGGACTCAAAACAAATACTTCTTCCCTTTGGATGCCTTCCCCAACCCTAAGATAAGGTCCTAGTTTTTTTATCCTCTTTGACTTTGGACTTCTCCTCAGCATCACTTATCAAAATCTGTTATTTGTGTGTATGTGTGTGGTATTCTAAAAGTGTAGGAATTGTGTCAACTCTGTTTCAATGGCTTTTATAAGACTTGGCTCAGAGGTGCTTAGAAATATATATCTTTTTAAGTGAATGAAGAGATGGATAACCAAATGAACAAAAAATGCAGCAAGGCTGTCTATTTTCAGAAAATTCTTTTTCTTTATAGTCCCAAAGGAGAGTTTTCTTCTTCTTATTTATTTTTTTTAATGTTTAGAGGATTGGGATAAATCTGTGCCCCATTTTTTCCACCCTCTTTCATGGGAATCTTAGATTGCTCTGGGTCCTTCCCTCTTGTCCAGTGGCAGCAGGTCAGCCAGATATTCATATTTACACAGATCTTACATGTCACCTGAGGACACTGATACATGCAAAGGAAAGGGGACTTTAGGTTTTCACAGTATGGGTAACTATATCTAAGGACAAGCAGGAATCTTTGAAAATTTGAAAAAAACGATATAAAAGCTCTTTTGACTCTCTTAAGCTCCCAAATATGCTTCCAGTCTCAATGGTTGCCACACTAATTGCATGGAGCGTGGTTGAGAATGACACTTACGTCAAGGACATACACTCTAGCTTTGTGACCTGAGTAGGGCATGACACCTTTCAGAGCCTCAGTCCTCACACATGTCCTAATAATGGATAACAGTGACATTTTCCTCCTAATGGCTGTTATAAGAAACAAATGAAGTGATGCCCATAAATCACTTGTGTTATGGATTCGTATGTTCCAAAAATTTATGTTGAAGTCTTGACCCCCAAGTACCTCAGAATGTGACCTTGTTTGGAAATAAGGTCCATATCAATCTGTACTCGTTTGCTCAGGCTGCCATCACCAAATACCATAGCCTGGGGGGCTTAAACAATAGATATTTACTTTCTCACAGTTCTGGTGGCTGGAAGTTTGTGATCAAGGAGTCGACAAGGTTAGTTTCTCCTGAGACCTTGCTGTGTCCTTACATGATTCTCTCTCTGGAGACATCTAGTGTCTCTTTGTGAGTCTTCATTTCCTCTTATAAGGACATCAATCAAATTGGATAAAGGCACACCTAATGGCCTTATATTAACTTAATCACTTCTTGAAAGGCCCCATCTCCAAATAGTCACATTCTGAAGGACTAGGAGTTAGGGCTTCAAATGAAACTGGCGGGGAGGGAGACACAATCAGCCTGGGTTGGTGCAGATGAACTTAGTTCAGATGAGGTCATACTGGAGTAGGGTGGGCCCCTAAGAAGGTGCCTTTATGAAAAAGGCAAGTTTGGACAGACACACACACATGAGAACACCATGTGAAAGTGAAGGCACAGACAGGATGATGCTTCTCCAAGCCAGGGAATGGCAAAGGTCACCAGCAAACTCCTAGAAGCTGGGGGTAGGAGACTAGAATGAACTCTCCTTCACAGCCTCATCAGGAACCAATCCTTCTGACATCTTGATCTCAGACTTCTGGCCCCCGAACCGGGAGATAATAAATGTTTGTTTAAGCCCCCAGGCTGTGGTGCTTGTTATAGCAGATCTATCCAACTCATCCACTTAGCTTGTACTAAACACTCAAGAGATATTAAATATTATCCTTCATTTTTTTCTTTTTGCTATTCTTGTGTTCCTTCCTTTTTTCTCTCTTCCTTCCAGCTTCATTCCTGCCTGTTTCTTTCTTCTTCCCTCATTTTCTCTCTCAAGGGTAGCGATGGAGTCTATCATTCTCTCTGCACTGAGCATAGTGCCTGGCACAAAAGCCTTCCCAGGAGATATCCCCGGAGATGTCAGCTCTGCTCTGTGTACCGTGTCTTTCCAGGTTGGGCATTTGCCGGCTCAGCTCTGCAGCGTGTGAGGGTCTGTCCACCGTGCTCCAACTCAACCGTCACCTCCGGGAACTGGACCTGAGTTTCAATGACCTGGGTGACAGGGGCATGTGGCTGCTGTGCGAGGGGCTAAGGCACCCCACATGCAGACTCCAGAAACTGTGGTGAGCGGCTGGCATTCAGGACTGGCGGTGGTGGTGTTGGTCCCTGGGGTGTCAGCGTTTGTTTGTCCTTGATTTTTCTATTGAAGAATTATCTCTCTATCACTTTGAAATATACAGGAGTCTACAGGTAAAAAGAAAAACTGTGCAAACAAGTCACAGAATACTTCATACTCTGGGGGAATACAGACAGGAAATGCTTCATTTTTCCTTCAGTCGTTGCCTCTAAACTTTTTCTGTAAAACCCCACTTTTCCCTGGATGTTGACTTGGGCAGACCCATGGCTTTTTGGTAACTTTTATATAATAAAAATTTAAAGTATAATAAATTTTCTAATCCAAGATGAACTATCGCTTCCTCCTTCTTCTAATACCGACCTGGCCCCCAACCTGAAAGACTTACAAGTGGATCAGGCATGTTGACTTTTTAAATTGTCTTCTATTTCTGAGTCTTGCTTATCCAGGGCATTGGATAACTGGGGATTAAGATGAGGGCTTGGGGACAGCTTTTCTCCCTTAATCAGTGCTGCCAAGGTCCCTCTGGGATGTCAGTACCCCCATCTAGCAGGCATCCAACTGCTACCCCTCTCATGGGGATTATATATGAGTTCTTCTAGGGGCCCCTAGGAGGTGCCTCCACTGCCCAGGCTTCTGATGTAGATCAGTAAATCTAGTCAACCTCCTTACACAACCCCCTCCTCAGCTCTCACCACAGTCTTCTATTCCTGACCTTCTGTACCTGTCATGTAGGTGGTTCCAGTTCACGAAGCTGGTTTTTTTCTCTTGCAAGTCCAAGACTGTTCTCTTGTACCTTGTTTTAGAGGCTGGCATTGGGTGCCTCATGACATCTGCCAAACTAAGATTAAAATATTTCCATTTAACATCCCAGCTATGATACCACTGTGAGGAATAAATGATAAAGTTAAGTGTAAAGCCCTTAGAACTTTATCAGTTCTCAATAAATGCTACCTATTCTTGTTTGCATTGTAACAGCAGAGAATACAGGAAAGATACACAATTGGGGACAGAATAGAAATCACAGAGAATCAGATGGTATACTTCTGGGGCAGGTGGTGGCCCAATTCACACTGGCTTCTAAAATTTATTAACTGTAACCAAAGGACATTCTTCAGGCATGGCTCGATCTAGGCATTTGGAATCTTGATCTCCATTATCTTCTGTACTCATTGCTGTATTGGCTCCACTATCAGATCAGGTTAGCCTTGACTCTGCTTGGTAGCAAAATGCTTGCAACTTTGTAGATGACTTCTTTCCAAGTCCAAGTTCTGAAAGCAAAATCTCTAGGAAAAGCATGGTTCCGATTCACAGGCTCTAGGTGGATCCTGTGTCCAGCTGAACCACTTATGGTGGCTGGGGACACGGAAACCAACCAGCTTAGGCCTGGACCCTCTATTCACCTCTGGAGGTTGAGAACCATGTGAACCCCAGATGGACCGACACTGAGGTACCGATGAGAAATTGGGGTAGAATTCCCCAAAGGGGAATGGATATTTGGCTGCAAAGCTAACAGGTTACTATTATAGATGAAGCTGTGAATGGAGAGGCATCCGTAAATGCCTCTCTGAACAGCTTGCCATCAGCACCGTGACCTGGACTGGTTTGGTTCTTCTCTGCTTTCTTGTAAACTAGTCCCCTAAAATCTTTATCCTGATTCCTTATGAAAAAAGACTTTTCAAAAGTAGCTCATGATAATTTTTTCAACTAATTTTTTTTTCTTTAATCTTCAACAGGCTGGACAGTTGTGGCCTCACAGCCAAAGCCTCTGAAGATCTTTCTTCCATCCTGGGGGTCAACCAGACCCTGATAGAGCTTTATCTGACCAATAACTCCCTGGGCAACACCGGTGTCAGGCTGCTGTGCAAGCGGCTGAGTCACCCTGGCTGCAAACTTCGAGTCCTCTGGTGAGAGATGGTTCCTGGCTCTGGGTGGACAGGACATGGGGCTTGGGGTTAGGAGTGAAGATCAATAATTAAGATCCCCCTCTCCCAGTTTGGATAGACAAATAATCTAGAAAATTTGGGACTATTTCGTTTGTCATTCATTCATCTCATGTATGCAATTTGAATGGAATACAGAGGAGACCTCATGTTGCATCTTGGGCAATACCTCTACCATCTGCTTGGCTGTGCAGCTTTGGAGAATGCACTGAGCATCTATTTCCTAATCTGTCAAATGAGACCATCGTAGCTGAGTGAGAATCTGTAATTACTCTGCCTGGCCTCAAATTCTAATTCTATGACTTTCTAATTTTGTGGTGTATTTTATTTGGTAAATTATCCAACCTCTTAGTACCTCAATGTCCCTGACTATAAAAATAAGGGGAATAGTTACTTCTTCATATGATCATGAATTAAATGAGTTGACACACGTGAGGGACTTAAAATGGTGTGTAGCTTACTTAAGTAAGCATGTTTTCCAAGAGGACTTGGTTTCAAGTGAAGTACTAGATAATGGAATTATTTTACCAGGGCAAGATGCATGGAAGATTGGGTATATCAATCGAATGCCACAAGAGTGGTCTGGAATGATATTTCCCATCCTGTGTCCTCAGGTTATTTGGAATGGACCTGAATAAAATGACCCATAGAAGACTGGCAGCACTCCGGGTAACAAAACCTTACTTGGACATTGGCTGCTGACTGGTTTTGTCTGCTGGTTCTTCTCTTGAAGTTGGAACAGAGGGAGATCGCCCCAGGACCTGTTAATAACATAATACTCAGGCTCTATATTTCCTCAAGAGGCAAACTCGTAGGCAGAATAAGTCCTTTTTGTTTGAGGTATACATAATCAACATGTGATGGGGCTTGGGGCTCTAGTTTGGGGAATGTTGGTGACATGGAGAGAATTTAGGGCCAAATTCTAGAGCAGAGGCTCTCAACCAAGGATGATTTTGCACATGCCCCCTCGACCCCCAAAAGGGGACACTGATTTTGCACATGCCCCCTCGACCCCCAAAAGGGGACAATGTCAGAAGACATTGGAGTAAGGGAGCTACTAGCATTTAATGAGTAGAAGCCACGGATCCTGCTAAACATTCTATAATACATTCTATAATAAATGCAGCCCCCTACAATTTAACTGAAAACGTCAATTGTGTCCAAGTTAGGAAGCCCCGTTCCCAGAGTTACTGGTATAGTAAGAGTAGCTGACACCTGGTGTGATGCCAATAGTCCCACCAACAACCCTGGCAATCTTGTTTTGCACCATAACTGTCTCCTGGCTGGAGTCCATCAAACCATGTCTAGACACCAGCCACTATTAGGCAACCATAGGCTGACCAGTAACCTACACCAGGTTTTGGATGAAAACATGAAGGAAATCAACCAGAATTTTACTCGTGGGGACTTGAATCAGGGAACGTCAGACAAAACATGAAGGAAATCAACCAGAATTTTACTCTTGGGGACTTGAATCAGGGAACTTCAGATTGTAAAACTTCCCAAGAATGCTGTGAACATATGGTACCTAACCCAGTAACTGCTGTATGGAGAGACCAGAATTTACTAGGAAGCAGGGAGATTTGTACGGATATAAGCATTTAGTGGCCTTGTAACCTATGAAAAGTTGGAAAAGGAAGTAACTTAGATTCTGTGTACATGAATAAATACTCCATGACTACTCGCACATGTCCCTTGAAATCAAATTCTTGAATTATGAAACCCTCTTTGTGTACCTGGCCTGACCTCCAACCCCTTTCAGCAGCGTTTCCGAAAACAGCCCTTCTCACATTCAGAAGCTAGCTGAGCAAGAAGCCCGACTCATTGTTAATCCCTGTGCTGCCTTATAAAGATGAGGGCGAGGGCCACTAAAACCTGTGGGCAACATGTTGGATCACTGGCGGAGTTACGTGTGATGATTAAACAATTTCCCAGCTTTCCAAAGCAGAAGCCCAGCAACCAAGAGTTGATGGTAATCAAGATACTTGCTCCTGAAGCTGGCAGTCAGGAAAATGATACGAAGGACTGGTGCTTAACATCAACCAATTTTTCCAAGAGTGGGTACTTGTGGCCACAAGCTACTTTTCTAAATGTATAATACTCCTGGTAGAGGATATTTTGTAGGGGTTTCAAATGGCTAGGTACTTGGCTGAACACCTCATTAGTTGAGGTTCAGCTACTTTAGGGCAAAAGCCTTAATTCAGGAGACACACCCAATCATGAACCTTAGAGTGCTTTCAAAAATCTTATGGCTTTGCCTCTTTGCCCACCTCAATAACTAATGAAATGTGTGCAGAATTAAAATGCTGCAAGGCCACCACTAGTTTGAGGATACTTATGCTTTTCCATGTCTCTAAGACCCATGGGCCTTATGTATATTCACATCCAAAGGGTTACAGTAAACAAACCAATACCTTAGGAGATTTTGGGGGGCCATAAATTGTCTATGGATTAAAGTGAAGGGGTCTCAGAAGCAACTAAGACCCATCGTCAAGATCTTACTGCTCTCTACCCATCCTCCCCACTCCAGACTGCTACATGCCACACTATTTACTAGTGTACTTGGAGGTAAAAAAAAATTACACAAGGAGCATTACATGGACAACTTTTATTTTCTAATTGTACTTTGTACACTTAAATGTTACTATTCAATTTCAACACATTAATTGAAACATGGAACGATGACTTAAAACTTTTAGAATTTACGAGGTTGTAGAACTAGCCACTTAATGACTAGTGACAAACTTATTTGGGAGATTCAGGAGTAAACTGAAGCCCGTTGTTCCCGACAATTGCCCCTGGGCTCTTTTTGATGCCAAAACCTCTTATGCAAAATCCCCTCAGGGGAAAGCCAGGATGAAGCGGATTGGCATGTGCTGATCTGGATGGCGCCTAGCCCGATTAAGGGAGCAGTGACTCATGGTAATTGCTACCAGGCTGGTTGCTGCAATCACGCACAGGACCCAGGTTGAAGAGCAGTCTGGGGAAGTCAAAGAAAAGTTTAGCACGCTCAAAAAACCACTTTTCTAAATAGTAAGACGCTTTCCTCAAAACAATGACACACAAAAAGGGAGCACTTTCCAGTCCCAAAAACGGCAAGTGCCCCCTTTTTGAGTAACACGATCTGAGGTGTTGCACTCGTCCACGGAAGCCACTAGTAATGCAGGGTTCCCAGAGGAAATCTAGAAAATGCCAGAAACGGTAGTTATGGACTTGAAAGTAAATTGTTAAACGTTCGAGTTTCCCTTCCCATCAGCTAGCACTTCAGCTAGCGGCCCCCACTGGTTTACCAGGTAGCAGTTCCATGCTACGGCACTTCCTGTTTTCTAAAGCAACAGGATCCATGAATGAAAACCTATATAGGGAGGTTCCAAATCGGACTACTTGACCAGACAGCTTCGGGGCCCTTCAGTGGTGTCCACTGACACGCAAATAGTGCGGCTCTTTCCACTTGTACACCCGAGCGCTTTTACATCTGAATGTCACAGGCGGAGCATTGCTACCCAAGTCCCTAGGCCACCAGGCCTGCACTGCTCAACGTAATCTGTGCCCCGTTGAGAATGAAACGTCAACCTCAGCCCACACCACCGGAAGTTACTAGCTCAATCGGTAAAACTCAAAAAATGGCGGCACTTTCGTAGTCAGAAAAGAAAGTGCCCCCACAGTTTGAGTTCCACAGGTTGAGAGTCCAGGGATGTCATCGCCAGCGGAAGGACTTACCAGGCAAAGAACTCTTGCAAAAGGATAAAAAGGTTAAGGCCGCCTTAATCTTAAAATCTGGAAAACATGTTAAGTTAAAATGAGAAATGGTTTAAAACAAGAACTTTTAACCAACTGCACAACTTGCATAGAATTGGATGTCCTAGAATTTAGCGCATGCACCCACGCCACCAAACCGAGACTTAATACTTAGGCTAATTACAGTTTCGGATTGGTAGCCTGGGTTTTAGCCTAAGTGGCTCCATTTGGGGGGCCTGTTTTGTGTCAATTTACAATCGACTACAGGGCCGATTTATAGTGAAATGCCTTGTTCCTGGTACCAAGGGAAACCCCACAATCCCACCCACAGCTTCTAGATCCAGGAACCTAGACAGAAAACACGTGGCACATAGAACATTTAGGGAGCAAGGGCTAGAGTTTTAGGCAATGTAACAGAATAAAGTGGTGAAAATAAGAGATTTCAGAAGCTACAATAAGGATAAATAAGGCTACAAATTATTGCAACAAAAGGGAATAGCGAATGTGATACTTACAAAGCATAGAGATGAAAACAGTCACTTCTGCCTCTATTTTCAGGTAGCGAGACATGGGCGATGCTGGGCCCTTATATAAGCAGAAGATCTATTCAACCCACCCCCACCCCCACTCTGAGGCAAGACCGCTCCCCTCCCCTTGCCTCCGCCCCGACCCACCCTGCCCTCTTAGATTGCAGCTCTTGCTTAGACATACTTCACTTGTTCTTTAAACTGTTTATTATTTATTGTTTATCTCATCAGAACTAATTGTAAACAACAAGAAAATGCAGAGAATTACCCTGAAGGAAGTAATTTCATGTCCTGGGGGAATTAAAATAAATCGTGCATTTCACAAATTTTTTAAGAATTCAAAACTTTTCAATGACAGTTGACATTCAATAGTATATTAGTTTCAGGAGTACCACCTAGTGGTTAGACATTTATATAACTTATGAGGTGATTCCCCGATAAAACAAATATTTAAATATTATTTTTGAGCAAATAAGATACTAGGAGCTCTGCTAGATCTTGGGGTGAAAGGAATGACTAAGATCGTGAATTTTATAGTCTAGAATAGTGGTTTTCAACTGGGGCTGATTTTTTTCCCTTGGGAGATATTCGACAATGTCAGGGGACAATTTTTGTTGTCACAACGGGGTGGGGAGAGGGAGGCTACCAGCATTTAGTGGCCAGGGGCCAGGGCTGCTGGTAAACATCCTATAGTATGGAACAGTCCCTTATAATAAAGCATTGCCTCCTGTCCAAAATATGAGTAGGGCCAAAACCGACAACCCCTGGTATAGCAGTAGGGTGATAGGCAGAAAAACAAACACACACAAGCACAGATACATATAATTGTGTTTATATTCATTTATTATATTTCCAATTCCACATATCCATCTAAACATTCATATTGAGAACACATTTCTGTGCTTGAAATCCAATAGTCTGTTAAAAAGTATTTAAAATGTGTTTTGACAACCGTAAGTATGAGAATAGTTTCTCAGTATGTTTTCGATATCTTTTTAAAAGATGCACGGTATTAGTTAGTTTGTATATATTATTGAGATGTGAGGTCTTACAATTCCCCGTATGACAAATCTTGGAGGAGAAACTCAAGTTCAAAGGAGTTGCTGTAGATGGATGGATTTCAGAAAATCTTTAAAAATAAAAAATTGTGTTTTCCTGGTTGAATGGCAATAGAGTATTAGGCCTTTTCTATTTTTATGCATTTAGGATAATGTGTTAATGATGCTGCAGTGAACCCTTTTGAGAGCAAATTTCATAAGGGGGAGACCTCCAGAATAGGTGTTACCTTCAATAGCATCCTGTGCCCCCTTTTGATTGCCAACTTCCTATGCTTAGCAGATCTGTTTGTCTAATAACCTGCTTATCGGTTGATTCTCAATTATTTGTTACAGTTTGTCTCAGAAAGACAATGGCTTGTCTGTCTTGTTCACCTGTGTC